TTCTAAAACCCCCCCCCCCCTCCCCCCCCCCTACTGCAATGGATTTTGGTTTGTTTTGCCTTATTTAAATGCTGTGTGTTTATTTTTTTTTGATTTTTTTGGTTGGTGGCCCCACCACAGAAATTCACAATATGGGGACCACTCACTTATTTAGGGTGCCTATCTAAGAGACATATGCATATATAAATATATCTAATTGATTCAAACTGTATGTAGTATTCCCCGTATTTCTCTCTAAGATTGCAGTCTTACAAGTTGCTCTGAATCAGGTTTTAGAAGAAGTTATTGATGAGACCAGCATGTTCCTGGATATTAAAGGCCTCTATCCATTTAGGTTCATTTTCTCCAGCTAATATAGAAATATATGCAAAAAGATGTACTGTCGTCTCTCACCATATTGCGTTTTTACTTTTCATGGTCTCACTGTATCAGAGATTTTTGACTTGTGTACATCTAATTTTCTATCACAGATTTTTTAAATATATCTGAGGATTTTGTGGCATATAGGTATTTTTTTATATATTTATTATGTATCTTTTTTCCCCAGTAAATTAAGCATTTTCTAGCCTAAAAAATTGAAAACAATTAAAAATTATATTAAAATATTAATTTCAAAACAAAATAAAGGAATATTAAATCGAACTAAAATACTCAGTGTACAATAGAAGAGTAGTTATAAAAAGGTGGGCTGGGTTTATAAAGCTTTAAAATAATAAAATAAATATAAAAGGTTGCTACTTTGTGGATTTTCACCTGTCGCAGGAAATTCTGGTAGATAACCCCCAGTGGCGTAGCGAGGGTGTTTGGCGCCCGGGGACAAGATTCGCGCCCGGGGACAAGATCCATTTTTAGCGCCCCTTTTTCTTTTTTTCAACTCTCAAACCCATTATTTTCATCAATAAAATAATATCAAAGCACATTTTGGCGCCCCTAACTAGCTGGCGCCGGGGACATCTGTCCCCCCCTGACCCCACCAAGCTACTCCTCTGATAACCCCAGTTCTAGACGAGGCACCACTGTATCCTTTAAAAAAAAATTTGTATCCAACCGGCCTTAAAAAAGTTAATTTTTTTTAGACCCTCAAAAAAATTCAAATCAAAACAACCATTTCATGAGCCTCAATAAATATGTTTACTTCTCCCCAGATACCAAAAGACTGGTGTACGATGGTTGTGGGAACTTCACTGTCAACAAGCTGGTGGGATTATAGGAGATGAGATGGGTCTTGGGAAAACCATACAAACTATTTCATTTCTGGCAGCCTTGCGCACAAGTCAAGTCAAGAATGTTAATTTTCCGTAAGTAAACATTTTCAAAAACATGTTTTAGTTCTTTACCAAATGTAGTTGTGTTTTTATAGAGAACAATAATGGGTGGAAAGTTTCCTTTTGACTGTGTTTTACATGCTTTATATTTATATACTTATTTCTTAGAAATACATTTTTGATGTAAATACTTTTAGATATTTATGTTTCTAAACAGCTACAAAGGCCTTGGCCCAACAATAATTATCTGCCCAACAACAGTCATGCATCAGTGGCTTAAAGAATTTCATAAATGGTGGCCAGATTTTCGAGTAGCCATTTTACATTCCTCTAGTTCCTTTACTGGCTCAGAGGTTTGTTACATTTTATCTTAGCCGTGTTTCAACATTCTTGCTTGAAGAAAAAATTTTTGCTAATTTAATACAGGAAGTGCAAATTGATTTAAAAGTCTTATTGTAAAATCTTAAGTCCACAATGTAATATTTGAGTACTTTTTATTTAGTAACTATATCAAATTTGAGTGCTGCAAAAATTTAAATAATTGTAAAAATTTTGTAAATATTGATTATTGTCAATTGGCCTTTATTATAGATACAAAGTTTTCAAAGTTCTTAAATAATTAGTAGTTTTCTTATATACATAGTTCCTATTTTTGTCCCAAATATTTAAGCTTAAATCTTTTTTAAGGGATTTTTAAATGTTTGCATCTTGATATTAAATTTCAAATCTGCATTAAATGTGTTAAAAACATTTTTATTAAAATCCAGTCACAAATGCTTGCTAATTGAAAGATTCTATTGTTGCTCATCTTCAGTCTGACCTGGTACGATCTATTGCAAAAAGTCAAGGTATTCTTATCACATCATACAACACATTGGTTATTCACCAAGAATTAGTGTTACGTTTTAACTGGCATTATGTCATCTTGGATGAGGGTCATAAGATTCGTAATCCAGATGCTAAAGTCACATTGTGTTGTAAACAGGTATGTGCACATTTTGAATTCATTCTTGGATATTGTAAAATATTTATCTTAGATATTACTATGTAACTTAAAATATGGCCAAGCATATTTCAGTAATATTTTAATGTTACTTTACTAACATTTAATTCATTTGAAAAGGAAAATCTGTATACAGGTGCATGGAGTAAATTTGTTGCTATTACTATTAAAATATAAGCTTTCAAATTTTTTCACAAATGTGAAATATTGTTTTGATGTTGTTTTTTTGTGTGGTTTGTTTCAGTTCAGGACACCTCACAGAATCATCTTGTCAGGTTCTCCTATACAAAATAATCTAAAGGAACTTTGGTCTTTGTTTGATTTTGTTTTTCCTGGCAAGCTTGGTACCTTACCAGATTTTATGCAGCATTTTTCTATTCCTATAGTTCAGGGAGGCTACTCTAATGCCACACAAATACAGGTAGGAAAGAAGTCAGAAATAATAAAAATAATTCACATGCTGGGTACCATAATTCATTTAATAGTCTGCACCATGAAACTTCATCAAAAAATAAATGCAGGCTCAGGAATTTAAAAGTTACAGCCAGACTTGTGAATATGACATATTTAAAAATGCGGATTACTCATGATCATGCTAGATGAGGTTTTCATCATTTCTTATCTTAAAAGATAAAACTAAACAAAATGAAAGGTAAACATTAGATCACAACAAAGTTAATTTCCAGGTTGAAACAGCCTATCGATGTGCATGTATTCTGCGAGACACCATCAATCCTTACCTCATTAGAAGAATGAAAGCTGATGTCAAGAAAAGTCTTGATCTTCCCAACAAAAGTGAACAGGTAATTATTATTATTATTTTTTTTATTGTATGGAATATTTATAATATATTTCAGTTATTGTTTACTTTATTTAATTTATTTTGCTGGATTGTTGTATAAGTTTTAATGAAACTAATTTGAACTAGGGAATTATGGGAAATAATATGGCTAATAATAGTTCTAAAATTTGGTATACTTTTTTAAGTATACAACATTATACAGTTTTTAAAATTTTAAATTTTGATTTAACTGCATTTTTATTGATATCTAGCCTAAATTTAGCCTTTTGAATTTGATATACCTTTTTAGAATGATTAATTTTCCTCACAGGTCCTGTTTTGTCGACTTACAGATGAACAAAGAGATGTTTATCAAGAATATTTGGACTCACGAGAATGCAACGCCATCTTACAAGGAAAGTTTCAGGTAAAACACATTTGAGGCCAGTCTCATCTTACAAGGAAAGTTTCAGGTAAAACACGTTTGAGGCCAGTCTCATCTTCAGACTGACTATTGAATCAAATGGTTTTAAAGCTTTACAATGAATTAAATTTTTTTTCCCCTTCGTTCCTATTTGACAGCTTCCGTCTTGAATTCCGTCTTTAGGTTTTTTCTGGTCTCATCACCCTACGTAAGATATGCAACCATCCTGATCTGTCGACCGGAGGCCCCCATTTGTTTAGCCAGGATGCCCCGACAGATCCAGAAGATCAGTTTGGCTACCACAAGCGGAGCGGGAAGATGATTGTGGTTGAGGCACTGTTGAGGCTGTGGCACAAGCAAAAACACAAAGTCTTGTTGTTCACACAGAGCAAGTCTGTAAGCTTCTTTGTTATGTCTTCCAATCAATGGTTTATATAGCACTTGATTGGAAATCTATCATTGGTTTATATAGCACTTGATTGGAAATCTTCCATTGGTTTATATACTACTGTATTGGAAATCTTCCATTGGTTTATATACTACTGTATTGGAAATCTTCCATTGGTTTATATAGCACTTGATTGGAAATTGATTTAGTTTCCATAAATTATGTTTTGTTAAAATCCAATATTAAACAAATGATATCCATCCATGTCTTTTATTATTCTTTTTTACTTTTGGTGTAATATTTTTATTTTATTTTCCAGATGTTGAATATTTTAGAAAAGTTTGCGCATGATCAAGGTTACACGTACTTGACCATGGATGGCGGGACGTCAATAATGGCCAGGCAGCCGCTCATTGCCCAGTATAATAATGTAAAACTTATTTATTTTCTTAGTCTCATAAATGTTAGATATCCTCTTATTTAAAATAGTAAACACTTTCAAGGAGGAATTCAATTATTCAAACACTTTCAAGGAGGAATTCAATCATTCAAACACTTTTAAGGAGGAATTCAATTATTCAAACACTTTCAAAGAGGAATTCAATCATTCATTTTCACTAAAGAGCAAACAAAAATTTTAAATAGAATATTTGAAATATTTATAATGCATTGTATGAGAAAATTTTTCCTTAGAGAACAAATAGGCTTAAAATGCTTTTGAAGAACAAAAGATAATATTTTCTCTCTCCATTTAAAGTGTTGTTTTTTTTGGGTACAAAATAAGAATAAATCAAGGACAGAGAAAGAAACTAGCAGAGATTCAGGTCCCTTCTCTATAAGTATAAGTACGTTTTATTTGCACACAGGATCCGTCCATTTATCTCTTCTTACTAACCACAAGAGTGGGAGGACTTGGGGTTAACCTGACAGGGGCAGACAGGGTCATCATCTATGATCCGGACTGGAACCCCAGCACTGATGTACAGGCCAGAGAAAGGGCATGGCGGATTGGGCAGACGCGTCAAGTGACCATCTATAGGCTATTGACCTCTGGCACAATTGAAGAGAAGATTTATCACAGGTGGGTTCGATTGAAATTTGTGTTATACTTTTGAACCAATCCACTATGCATTGCTTTACACATACCCCCCCCCCCCCCTAAGAAGAAATGTTGGCTTAATCTTGTTTGTAAACGGCAACGCTACATTTTACTGTTCACTTTGAATTATTGTGCACTGTGGGTGTTAATACTTGCTGGCATATTTAAAGTCATCACCATTGTAAGCATTGGGTATTTGTTTTGGTTAAAATTGGATCCTCAACCTGTGATCAATAGTCTTCATGCACCAATTTAAGCTGTTGATAAAGACCCCAAAGATATAGTAGGTTTTACCTTTTTTAAATTTTAGTTTGGGTACTTCCCTTCCTTCTTTCAGCCATATTTTCTATTCTTTAAGGCAAATTTTCAAGCAGTTTTTGACCAATCGAGTATTGAAAGATCCAAAACAGAGAAGGCTTTTCAAATCTCAAGATATGTTGGAGCTCTTCACGTTAGGAAGTCAAGACAACAAGGAAGGAACGGAGACCAGTGCACTGTTTGCCGGTACAGGTTCAGATGTGAAGATGCCGAGGAGGCATAGGAGGAATAGATTTGATGAAATTCAAGAAAGGAAGGAGAGGGAGAAGAAGGAAGTGGAGGAGGAGGAAAGAGGGAATGATTCAAGGTTTGAGGAAGATCAGGATATGGGCTTAGAGGATGAAGAGTTTGAGAGGATGAAAGAGTTAGCCAGAAGTCTGAGCAGGAAAATGGAAATTGAAAAGAGATCAAGGGAATCTGGATCCACAGAAACTGGCCAGCAAAAATTAACCAACAAAGGACAGTCAAGTAGCCAACGAAATTCTTGTGAAAAAACTACAGAACAAAGTTTGTCAGAGAATGAAGAGGTCCACCAAATTGCAAAGACAGAAGGCAGCTCTGAGGGCAAAACACTTGTGAGTAATAGAGATGATGAGGAAATGTGGGTCAATGTCAAGGTTGAACAACCAGATGAATGGGTCCAACCAACATCCTCAGAAATGTCTGTACCCAAAAGCTCAAATACAGAAAATAGCACAGGATCTTCAGATGTGGCCAAAAAGGGACATAACTGGCAGCACAATGGTAAAATATGGACTATCCCCAAAAACACAAACCGAGAAACGCAACGGTCAAGAGAGAAACCTAGTAGAGAAAACACAAATTTTGAAACAGAAATTTCAACAAGCACCTGGACAGTTGATGACCAGGAGTCAGATAATAAGAGACAGAGCAGATCAAATCACAGACGGGATGATGGAAAGAATAAAAAACACAAGAAGAAAAAGAAACGGCATGATGCTCGTAAGTTGTTGTCGGCTTTGTACTCGGGCAAAGAAATCTTCTCAGATCTTAAAATTTTGAATTTTATTTATAAAGTACTTAGAATAAATTCATTAAAAATTTTCTTAATTTATCAGACTATGAAGCATCCTTAGGGTAAAAGTAATATTAAAGAGTGAATCAAGAGTAAATAAAATACCTTAGAAATGTATTTTGTTAGAAATAGTGTTTATGCTTTTAGATTACGTTTGCAGGTTTTGAAGGTGAAAGAATACCCCATCTGGTGAAGCACATGCCACTGTCTCAGCCCGGTCCCGGTACGTCAACAGACGAGCAACAAACAAAACCACAAATATCACACACAGAGCAACCGGACAGCAACAAGCATCAGGATGACTATGTTCTAAGGCAGCTTTTTAAGAAAACAGGTCTGTTGCATCACTTCTTGCTTCCATCACATGTTGCAAACATCAATGGCATCACGGGGGGGAGGGGTGCTGGCCGCACCTGGTGACATCCCCCCCAAAGGGGGTGTGAGGGGGTAACAGTTAACATCCAATGGAAAATTGTAACTTTGACTGAGCCCACTCAAGTTTGTGCTATAACTCAGTGGTCCCCAAACTTTTTAACGCCGCGGACCAGTCAACGTTTGATAATTTTTCCCCGGCCCGTTTGGGGGGGGGGGGAGGAGGAGTTGATTGTTTATGTTTTAGATTATTTTGATTTTATAAATTTTAATATGATTGTATTTAAACATGCCTTCAAAATAAAATACAATTACACCAACAAAAAATGAATATAAGGTGATTTATCATTTTAATTGACTAGAACGCTAAATCAATGAGAACCCTGATCTTGTTTTTCTTCAATGACACTGTTCCATCTGGAGGGCAATAGGAGACAATGACACCCGACGTGTGTTGCTTGTGTCCAGTTTATTCCGTTGTTTTGTTTTGGTTGCTGTCACTGCAGAAAACCAACGCTTGACACAGATAGGATGTCGGAAATGTCAATAGGGATCTAAGTGCTATGGTGGCAATCTCAGGGTATTCCGCCATGACTTTCATCCAGAACACCGACAGAGTTGTTGTCTCGAACGTAGTTTTAAGGCCACCGTCATTTGCAACCTCCATCAGTTGATCTCCTTCTTGCACAGACAAACTAGAGTCGCCTGGTTTGTTGACACAAGGGTCTTGGATCCATTCCTTACCAGTTCGTAGGTTTTTTGCGGTTGGGAAGTAGCGCTCGAAGTTTCTTAACACCAAAGACAGGTGATCGTGCACCAACTGGGAGAATGAATGCTCAGCCTGACGGTTGCTGGTGCCCTGTTCATGCTTAGTGTTGGCGTACCCTTTTAAATATAATCATCAACGGAAAAACTAGTTATTCGGTAATGAGTTTATTACCTATGTTTTTGTTAAAACAAACACTGAACAATAAAATTGATTTTTTTAAGTTGTATCTGAAGAGTATGAACAATGAGCTCACTGACTGATGACATTTTGTCTTAGCCTTTAGATCGGAGCATCTTTTTTAGTGCAATTTCTTTTTGATTCCATGGCGCCCAAATGCTTTCTCCTACTTTCAAAGATACTTGATACTTGATGGCGGCCTAAGCACACACCGTGCCCCACTGAAAATTGATGGATGCCATCATGGTGATATCTACAAGCCCCACTGAAAAGTGATGGATGCCATCATGGTGATATCTACAAGCCCCACTGAAAGTGATGAATGCCATCATGGTGATATCTACAAGCACTACTGAAAAGTGATGAATGCCATCATGGTGATATCTACAAGCCCAACTGAAAAGTGATGAATGCCATCATGGTGATATCTACAAGCCCCACTGAAAAGTGATGAATGCCATCATGGTGATATCTACAAGCACTACTGAAAAGTGATGGATGCCATGGTGATATCTACAAGCACAACTGAAAAGTGAAAGATGCCATGGTGATATCTACAAGCCCCACTGAAAAGTGAAAGATGCCATGGTTGTATATACAAACCCCACTGAAAAGTGATGAATGCCATCATAGTGATATCTACAAGCCCCACTGGAAAGTGATGGATGCCATCATGATACCTACAAGCCCCACTGAAAAGTGATGGATGCCATGGTGATATCTACAAGCACTACTGAAAAGTGAAAGATGCCATGGTGATATCTACAAGCACTACTGAAAATTGAAAGATGCCATGGTGGTATCTACAAGCCCCACTGAAAAGTGCTCATTTCTATTATACTTGGAAGTACAGACTGCTCATTCCAATTATACTTGGAAGTACAGACTGCTCATTCCTATTATACTGGGAAGTACAGACTGCTAATTCCTATTATACTTGGAAGTACAGACTGCTCATTCCTATTGTACTTGGAAGTACAGACTGCTTATCCTATTATGCTTACTACAGACTGCTCATTCCTATTATACTTGGAAGTATGGAGTGCTCATTTCTATTGTACATTAAAGTACAGACTGCTCATTCCTATTATTCTTGGAAGTACACACTGCTCATTCCTATTATACATTAAAGTACAGACTGCGCATTCCTATTATACTTGGAAGTACAGACTGCTCATTCCTATTATACTGGGAAGTACAGACTGCTCATTCCTATTATACTTGGAAGTACAAACTGCTCATTCCTATTATAATTGGAAGTACGGACTGCTCATTTCTATTCTACATTAAAGTACAGACTGCTCATTTCTATTCTACATTAAAGTGCAGACTGCTCATTCCTATTATACTTGCAAGTACAGACTGCTCATTCCTATTATACATTAAAGTACAGACTTCTCATTCCTATTATACTTGGAAGTACAGACTTCTCATTCCTATTATACTTGGAAGTACAGACTGCTCATTCCTATTATACTTGGAAGTACAGACTGCTCATTTCTATTATACTTGGAAGTACAGACTGCTCATTCCTATTATACTTGGAAGTACAAACTGCTCATTCCTATTATACTTGGAAGTACGGACTGCTCATTTCTATTATACATTAAAGTACAGACTGCTCATTCCTATTATACTTGCAAGTACATACTGCTCATTCCTATTATACATTAAAGTACAGACTTCTCATTCCTATTATACTTGGAAGTACAGACTGCTCATTCATACTATACTTGGAAGTACAGACTGCTCATTCCTATTATACATTAAAGTACAGACTGCTCATTCCTATTATACTTGGAAGTACAGACTGCTCATTCCTATTATACTTGGAAGTACAGACTTCTCATTCCTATTATACGTTAAAGTACAGACTGCTCATTCCTATTATACTTGGAAGTACAGGCTGCTCATTCCTATTATACTTGGAAGTACAGACTGCTCATTTCTATTATACTTGGAAGTACAGACTGCTCATTCGTATTATACTTGGAAGTACAAACTGCTCATTCCTATTATACTTGGAAGTACGGACTGCTCATTTCTATTATACATTAAACTACAGACTGCTCATTCCTATTATACTTGCAAGTACAGACTGCTCATTCCTATTATACATTAAAGTACAGACTTCTCATTCCTATTATACTTGGAAGTACAGACTTCTCATTCCTATTATACTTGGAAGTACAGACTGCTCATTCCTATTATACTTGGAAGTACAGACTGCTCATTCCTACAATACTTGGAAGTACAGACTGCTCATTCCTATTATACATTAAAGTACAGACTGCTCATTCCTATTATACTTGGAAGTACAGACTGCTCATTCCTATTATACTTGGAAGTACAGACTGCTAATTTTAACACTGATCTTTTTTTAGTTAATCAGAACTGTTAATTATTGCATGTTTTTAACAAACATTTGGTATCATTTTTGCTGCGGTATTTCCAGGTATTCAGGGTGCCATGAAGCATGATAAGATTATGGAGTCTGGGCGGCCGGACTATGCTATTGTTGAAGCAGAAGCTGAAAAAGTTGCCAGGGAAGCAGCTGCGGCTTTGAAGCGGTCTCGACAAATGTGCTCGTCAGCCCTGTCTGGTGTGCCGACTTGGACAGGGCAGCATGGACGGACATCCAAGTGAGAGTTGACCACCATTTCTTACCAAAGCAACTATTTCGATGTAGTTTTTTTTACAAAGGTTTTTTTAATGAAATCTCTAACTCTAAGGGACACATTAACAAACAAAAGGTGAAATTCTTCGTGATCCTCCCAGGTCACACTTTCTCCGCTACTGAAGCCAAATTAACATCTACAAAGGTGTATTTATTTGACTAGAAAATATTATTGCAAAAAATAAAAAATAAATACGATTAAAGACGATTAAAAGAGGACATTTTATTTATCTGTGCTTTCCTAATTATAATCAGTGAGAATATAAAAAAAAAACTCACTATCCAATTTTACAGCTTGTTTTATCTCATTTCATTTCATAACATCTCATTTCATATCATATCATAGTTAGCACTTAATACAACAAAAAAAACAACAAATTCCTAATGGTTAGCTGATATTTTCTTAACAGACCCAGGTTTGGACAGAAGAAAAATACTTTGTTGGTCTGTAAGCCCAACAAGTCTGAATCATCCAGCTCACCTCAGGTTGCCTCAAGTTCTCAGGTAATGAACCTGTCAGTCATGAATTGTATCAAATGGAGTGAAAACTTCTACCTGACTCCACTGTTTATTTTTATTAAATTATAATGGAAAAAAACTTGAAAATTGAAGAATATTTTTACAAAATTTTTTAAAAAAGGAAATGAGTAAATACCAAAACACTGATATTTCCATTTATTCAATAGTTGTACTATAAATGAAGCTTAAGCAATCACGTGGCAACATATATAAACAATCCTTTGATAGTTTTATAGAAAAATATTTGAATCTGAAATGTTACATTTATTTATAACAAGGTCCAGAACAACTCCAATAAAGAAAAGAGCAAGCTGTTTGACGGCAGCATGTCGGGCAATGTTTCACTTGCTTCCAAAAATGACACCATGACCTCCGGTGACCTCTTGTCTCGAATCAGAGCAAGGAAAAGGATATCCACCATTCAGGTACCCGAAGACGACTTCCTTCGCCCGGATCCACCATCAAGTCTGGATCCCAAAGATGAGGAACTCTTACAGGATATTCGCAATTATGTCGCATTCATGGGCAACACCAACGGCGAGGCGTCGACACAAGAAATTGTTCTCAACTTCGGCAAACGTCTTCCTAAATCTGATGCACCCAAGTTCAAGGCAATGCTAAACCAGATTTGTGATTTCCATTCAGGTGTTTGGAAATTAAAATCAGAGTTTAGGTAGATACTCCAGCTCAACAAGAACTTTAATATGGTGGGACTTTGATTTTGGTCTCTAAGGCTCAGTAGTGAAGATGGGGCATAACTTTGATTTTGGTCTCTTAAGGCTCAGTGGTGAAGATGGGGCATAACTTTGATTTTGGTCTCTTAAGGCTCAGTGGTGAAGATGGTCATGGGGCATAACTTTGATTTTGGTCTCTAAGGCTCAGTAGTGAAGATGGTCATGGGGCATAACTTTGATTTTGGTCTCTTAAGGCTCAGTATTGAAGATAGTCATGGGGCATAACTTTGATTTTGGTCTCTTAAGGCTCAGTGGTGAAGATGGTCATGGGGCATGTCTGTTTGTGTTCTATTACTTATTGGGTGAAATGATAAATATGCCTAAAATGCAGCTGATGTCACAATCTGTTGAGTCAAGTTTCTATGAACTGGAGATTGTTATTACCCAATCTGGTTAGAGCCGGCTGTATCTGTGCAATATTTCTTGAAAAAAATATTCCCATAGAATACATCAATGTAATGATGTAAGTCGTGTAGCTTAAAATATTATCTTGTAAACATGTAAAGTAATTTTGTTAACATTCACCTAACCTAAAAGACTTTGGAAACATTCACCTGAATTAAGTGACTTTGGAAATATTTAACTAATCTGTGTGACTTTGGAAATGTTTAACTAATCTGTGTGACTTTGGAAACATTCACCTATACTGAATGACTTTGGAAACATTCACCTAACCTAAAAGATTTTGGAAACATTCACCTAACCTAAAAGACTTTTGGAAACATTCACCTAACCTAAAAGACTTTGGAAACATTCACCTAACCTAAAAGACTTTGGAAACATTCACCTAACCTAAAAGACTTTGGAAACATTCACCTAACCTAAAAGACTTTGGAAACATTCACCTAACCTAAAAGACTTTTGGAAACATTCGCCTAACCTAAAAGACTATGGAAACATTCACCTAACCTAAAAGACTTTTGGAAACATTCACCTAACCTAAAAGACTTTTGGAAACATTTGCCTAACCTAAAAGACTTTGGAAACATTCACCTAACCTAAAAGACTTTGGAAACATTCACCTGAATTAAGTGACTTTGGAAATATTTAACTAATCTTTGTGACTTTGGAAATATTTAACTAATCTTTGTGACTTTGGAAATATTTAACTAATCTGTGTGACTTTGGTAACATTCACCTAAACTGAATGATATTAGAAACATTCACCTAAACTGAATGACTTTGGAAACATTCACCTAAACTGAATGACTTTGGAAACATTCACCTAAACTGAATGACTTTGGAAACATTCACCTAAACTGAATGACTTTGGAAATATTCACCTAAACTGAATGATATTAGAAACATTCACCTAAACTGAATGACTTTGGAAACATTCACCTAAACTGAATGACTTTGGAAACATTCACCTAAACTGAATGACTTTGGAAACATTCACCTAAACTGAATGACTTTGAAGGCACTAAGAAATCATTACATGCGTCTTAATTTTTTTTTATTGTTGTTTTATGATTATTGGGATCTTCATGCCAGTACTGGTGACCCCTGAGAGATGACACCAAGGATCCTACAGAAACAAAAAAACAAATGAATGTTGACAAGTGTGATTTGAACAAAGGGTTCCTCGAACTGTTGACCTGTTCATCCATCAATTCGGCTGTTTTTGTGCCTCACGAGTATACTTTGATTTCCTTCAAAGGAAATGTATTTACAGTTGTTTCATGATCTTTGTGAAATAAGGACTTGTTCTTGGCAGCCCTGGTGTTCTTGGCAGCCATAGTGTTCTTTGTGTCCATTCTGTTCTTGGCAGCCATATTTTTCTTTGTGTCCATTCTGTTCTTGGCAGCCTTATTGTTCTTCATGTCCATACTGTTCTTGGCAGCTGTATTGTTCTTTGTGTCCATACTGTTCTTGGCAGCCATATTGTTCTTCATGTCCATACTGTTCTTGTCAGCCATATTGTTCTTTGTGTCCATACTGTTCTTGGCAGCCATATTGTTCTTCATGTCCATGCTGTTCCTTGCAGCCATATTGTTCTTGACAGCCTTATTGTACTTGGCAGCCATAGTGTTCTTGGCACCTATAATGTTCTTGGCGCCAATATTTAAAGAAGATGGCATTCACAGAAGATGGCATTCACAGAAGATGGCATTCACAGAAGATGGCACTCACAGAAGATGGCATTCACACAAGATGGCATTCACACAAGGTGGTATTCACACAAGATGGCATTCACAGAAGATGGTATTCACACAAGATGGCATTCACACAAGATGGCATTCACACAAGATGGCATTCACACAAGTTGGCATTCAATCAAGATGGTATTCACACAAGATGGCAGAGCCAGAATTACCTATTAAATAAGCTACATTTAGGACCTCACATTCTGCCGGCTATATGTTTTAAATATTCCGTTGACATGCTGATGTAATTTAAAACGGTAAGGGGCCCCTGGACTTTGTATAGCTTAGGGCCTCATCAGGTCTAATTACGGCCCTGGAAGAGGTAATTGTAGACTGAAGTCATTTTTGAGGGCATCTTCCATTTTTGTGTGACTTCATCTGTCCTAGAATACCACGACTAGAGTCATTGTTGAGGAGGGCATCTTCCATTTTTGTGTGACTTCGTCTGGCCTAGAACACCAACTCCACAAATTGTGTTTCATTCATATCATTGGCAGCATATCATGTTTACTGACCTGAACAACACAACATTGGACGCAATGAGCTTGGTGTTTGGTCAGTCATCAACATTGGTTTAATGGTGATGTCTGTATTGAACCAATTTTGATTTATGTATTGGAAAAAAAAATGTTGATGTCTGAATTGAAAAAAATGTTGATGTCTGAATTGAAAAAAATGTTGATGTCTGAATTGGAAAAAATGTTGATGTCTGAATTGGAAAAAATGTTGATGTCTGAATTGAAAAAATTGTTGTCTGAATTGAAAAAATTGTTGTCTGAATTGAAAAAAAATGTTGATGTCTGAATTGAAAAATTGTTGTCTGAATTGAAAAAATTGTTGTCTGAATTGAAAAAAAATGTTGATGTCTGAATTGAAAAAATTGTTGTCTGAATTGAAAAAATTGTTGTCTGAATTGAAAAAAATTGTTGATGTCTGTATTGAAAAAATTTTGATGTCTGTATTGAAAAATGTTGATGTCTGTATTGAAAAATGTTGATGTCTGTCTGTATTGCAAACTTATTGGAAAGCAGGTTTGATGTTAAAATAAAATTTGTTTTTTTTGTCAACCTTTATTTAATCATGTGTGTGTTGCTTTCATAACAATTCTTCAAAATTCTTGTTGTCTTGGAAACATGGAAATATGATTCATTAGAATAACGCATATATTCTACACCAATGCCGATCTGCCGCATGACTTTTGGAGGCTCTGTAACAATGTAAGAATTTTTATATCACTGTACTCCATTGCACACCTTTGTAAACCATCATTTTCTAGTAAAATATATCCTCAGCGGTTATCTTCCTCTGGTCCGGCCATGGTACAGGGTTCTTTGCTTTAACTCTGAAAAGGTGATAAAGGAGACATCAAGCAACAGAAATTTGAAGATAAATTGTGAGTATTTTCTTTTGATGAGATGACCTGGCAACTATACAATCTTAGATCTCTCCACTGAAATTGCTTGAGCATTGTTAATAGCAAAGAAATGGTAACAACATTGGATCGATAAAGTAGTCTATTTTAATTTTATTTGTTATCATAAAGAACATGTCAATATTTAACTCGAGGCCCCAAGCAGAGAATCTTCCAATGTTTAACCCAGGACCCCAAACAGAGAACCTGTCAATGTTTAGCCTAGGGCCCCAAAGAACCTGTGAATGTTTAGCCTAGGGCCCTAGTGAACCTGTCTATGTTTAGTCCAGGGCCCCAAACTGAGAACCTGTCAATGTTTAGCCCAGGGCCCCAAAGAGAGAACCTGTCAATGTTTAGCCCAGGGCCCCAAACTGAGAACCTTTCAATGTTTAGCCCAGGGCCCCAAACTGAGAACCTTTCAATGTTTAGCCCAGGGCCCCAAAGAGAGAACCTTTCAATGTTTAGCCCAGGGCCCCAGTGGACCTGTCTATGTTTAGCCCAGGGCCCCAAACTGAGAACCTTTCAATGTTTAGCCCACGGCCCCAAAGAGAGAACTTGTCAATGTTTAGCCCAGGGCCCCAAAGAGAGAAACTCCTTTCAATGATAAGCCCAGGCCCCCAAAGAGAGAACCTGTCTATGTTTAGCCCAGGGCCCCAAACTGAGAACCTGTCAATGTTTAGCCCAGGGCCCCAAAGAGAGAACCTCCTTTCAATGATAAGCCCAGGGCCCCAAAGAGAGAACCTGTCTATGTTTAGCCCAGGGCCCCAAGAGAGAACCTGTCTATGTTTAACCCAGGGCCCCAAAGAACCTGTCAATGTTTTACTCAGGACCCCAAACAGAGAACCTGTCAATGCTTAGCCCAGGGCCCAGGGTAATCTCCAATCCAAACATTTTAGAACTGGTTTTCAAACACGAATCTCACCTTGACCTTCTTATTTCCGCCTCTACTTATCAGAACTGTCTCCTGTCTACACACTTGAACAAAAAATCAATTAGCCTACATAATAACAGAATGTCATCTCTGCCTTTACTCTACTTGTGACAACTGTCAGTCATCTTCACACTGGTAACCAATCAGTTCCATGAATTGAATACAGAATTAGAAAGAAGCGGGCAGTCTAATACAAGCAACCGATTTTTTTTAAAATTTAAAAAGAGGGGGGGGGGGGGGGATCGGGTGGTAGGGGTGGTATTATTTGGACAAATGAATGACATTGAGAGCATATGTTCCTTAGTTCAGTCCGTTACTTTCCGACCCAATTATGCAAGGTTTTTTTTTAAAAATGGTTTTAATTCAAACGGGATGTGACAAACTCTTTAGGGTTTGGGGGTGGGGAAGGAGTGAAATAAAAGGAGTAAGGATCTTAAACGAAAATTGGTTGTTGATTCTCACAAACCAGTTACCCCGTTTTTTTTTTTTTAAATCATGATAAAACTAAAACAAGTAAGAAAAAAATCAAGATAAAAATAAATAAAAATAATAAACCAGTACAGATGTATTAATTATTATTATATAAATGAATATTAGTTTTAAATATAGATGCTGTTTACTGTTTGTTTAATGCATAAAATTGTTAGAAAAAGTTTTTGCCTTGTTACTGCAAGAGTTATTTATTGTTTGATAAATATTAACAAGTTGGCAGAACTCGTTCTCCCATAATTTTGCCCCTCCCCCCTTTTTTAAAATTTCTTTTCCAACGCCAAGAAACCACTCAATAATTAGGATATTTTTAAAATGACGCAAACTACACAAAGTAAGAACATTCATTAAGAGAAAAAAAACTATTTAAAGTTTCTGAAATTCCCCCCCCCCCACCCCCGGGCCTGGGGAACGAGCAGTCCTCTACGTCCACTCTC